CAAACTAAACCCTCCCCCCCCCCGGCTCCCCAATCCCCTACCCCTAATCCCCCCCCCCCCCAACAAAACCTCACCACTTGCTCCAGGGCCTTAAGGAGTTCCTCATCAAACAGGACTGTCTGCAGGAGGCAGAACAGCGCCATCTGCTGCTCTGCAGGTAACACTGCAAAGGGATGGAAGCTCCTCTCCAGGTGCACGGTTGCTGGGGAGGCAGAGCAAATGAAGGGTCAGGCCCAGCTCACAACCTGACTCTCAGTCACTTCCTTCCAAAGGACTCCAGGTTCAGAATTGACTGTGGGGCTCAGGAGCACCCTGAGTGATTATCAAGAACCAGGGAAGCTACAGCAAAGGAAGCGGGGACGGGGAAGCACACTTTGACACCCCGGGCCTCACTCTTCTCTGCCCATTCCGTGCTAACCTTGACCAGATAGTTCCTGGCAGCTGCTTAAGCTCTCCTTTGGCATGGTATCTAGAGAAATGCATCCTCAAGGCCAAATCACTAAGCATGAGCCACACTGGTCCCCAAACATCCTTCCCAGCACTGTTTAGAGATGCACAGCGGTTTGGCAGGCTTTCCTTTGTGATGCATGGTCAAAGGACCAGCACCCTGCATCCATGGCAAACATGGCTTCCACTTCCCTTCCTGTGCCTTTCACCTCTGCTCAAGATGAGCAGAGTGTACTCTGCTGTACTGCTCACACCCTCCACAGGGGGCCTGGGAGCCTGAGCCCTGTAATACTCTTCTCTTTCCTCATGACAGGCGAAAGTTCCTAGTAAATTACGCCAGAAAACATGGGTGAGGTCAGACCTCCTGCTACACCTGCCACCATCCCCAGCTGCCCAGGGCACTCCAGCCAATAGGATGGCTGATTCATCCTGGAGCAGTGGGAAAGGAGTTCACACTGCAGGCCAACTCCAGCTTAGCCACAGCCACATCTTGCAAGTAGATGCCTCAAGTTTAGTCAACTCTTGCCCCCAGGGAAGATCTACCTTAACCCCAGTTCTCCATCACCCTGTCCTCCAACGCTGACATTTTGTGACAGGAACAGCATCCTCTGGTTAGGGATTTACTGAAGCCCTGGAGAGGGATCTCTTTTCTTGTTATACAAGGCAAAGCATATTCTGAGCCAGCCCTGGCTCCTCCTAAGCTCTTACCACATGCTTTCCCTTGTCCTCTACCCAGTTCTCCCTACTGCACACTCAGCAAAGCAAACCAATTCTAAAGCAACAAGCCATGTGGAGCAAAAAGAATTGCAATGGCCAATTCAGGGGTCCATCCCCTCTGCCATGTGGGTGAGGCGCCTCCATGGCTTTTACCATGCTGACCAAGAGCAGCCTGCCATGTAGTGCAGCCCAAGATGTAACAAAACTGATAGAGATCCTGGAGTCTCCAGCTCTGCTCATTACTGGCTATTCTCGGAGGTCAGTCAGGGTCTGTTGTTACAGGGGAAAAAACTGCCAGGTGCCTGCCCAGTGCACTCCTTGGGTCTCCCATGCTGACACACCTAGGGTCTCCCTCCATTCTCCAAAACAGCACGGGAGACCTGGCCCTCCCTTAGATCCAAGAGGATCCTGAAGGTCACATCACCTCTTGGGAGAGAGGGTCCACTTCTCCATCTGACCATAACCACATGCAGGCAATAAATACCTTGTTTTAAAACATGTAATGGCCCATCCTGGGAAGAGATCTCTTGACCCCCATCTGGCATGTCCAGGAATGCAAATTCTCTGTAGGCCAGGGGGTCCAAGTAGACAGAGTCAACTTTCTTCTCATGCTCAAAGCCACCATGTTTCCCTTGGAGGAGACAGAATTCTGCAGTGGGGAGAAAAGCCCAAGCCAGACATGGGTCAGCACAGCTCACCCACACCTCACACTTACCTCTCCATAGCTCAGGCTGTGGTAGAAGACACACAAAAAGGCCTTTGTTTCTTTGCATCAGTGTTTTGAGACAGTCTGGTGGTTTGAATGAAAACTGTCTCCCATAGGCTCCTCATTTGAGTGTGTTGTCTCCAGTTGGTAGCAATGTTTGAGAGGGGCAGCCTTGCTGGAGGAAGTATGTCACTGGGGGTGGGTTCTGAGAGTTACAACCTTGAGCTATTGTCATCCAGTGTGACCTCAGCTCCCTGTCCCTACTGACATGCCTGCCAATTTCTGACATGCCTCTGCCTCTCTGTGATGGACTCTTCTATCCCTGGGCCCAGAAGCCAAGTTAAACTCTCTCTTCCTTTGGTCACAGTGTTCTGTAGCAGCAACAGAAAAGAAAAAAAAAACTAGTAAAGAGGTTTACTGTGTAGTCCAGGCTGACCTCTAACTCTAGATCTGGTTGCTGGGATTACAGACATGTGCAACCCTGCCTGCTCACCTGAGAGTTTTCACATTTGGTATGATGGAGCACAGCATGGCCAACAGAATACCCCTGCACTACAGCAAGCTTAGGAGTTCCCAAGGGTTCCTTCTGTGACCTTGTCCCTTGTCCTCTAAGACAAGGAGGGACCTTTGGTTGACCCAGAGAAGACGCCTCTCCTGGAGGGTGTGCCACCACTTCAGAGGAGGGTCAGAAAATCCTAGGTTCTGTCCTCCACCACTTCCTCTCATTCCTTCACTGGGCTTTCACACCCAATGCCATCATGGTGATGGAGAACCAGAGTAGGACTCCTGGCTGAAGCAGAGCCCAAGCAGCTGCCTTCCAGCACAAGCTTTCTGGGCCAGGAGCTAGATACCTTGGACAAGAGGAGCACTGGAGCACAGGACTGGTGGGGAGGGGTGTTTCCACACAATGGGTTAACTTTGGGACCAGGGAGCAGGTGATAAGAGGTCAAGCTGGGGATACTTGTGGGGCAAAGCTTATCCTGGGAGCAGAGGCAACCACGGAGAGTATTTGAGCAAGTGAATGGAATGAAGGCTTAAAATCCTCACTACTCACTGCACTGCAAGATTGAAGAAAACATGGGGTTTCTGAGCATGAGGGTGAGAAGAAGGGAACTGATTTAATCATTCCACAGCCCCAGATAGAGGCTTGGGAATGGAAGGCAGGGTGAGGAACAGTGTCACTGATGGGGGCATCAGATTGAAGTCACCCTGGAGGATGAACAGATGGCCACTGCACAAGTGCAAGCTCAATTTCAGAAGGTTGGAGAGTGCCTCTGATTAGACCCATGAGAGCAGTAAGGAGGCATTCCACGGCAGCTGAGAACACAAGGGTGGAGTTGGCTTCTTGGGATTCACTAGATGGCTAGGACCACTGTCCACAGTAACCCTGCCATAGGCAGGAAGCATGGACAAGTTCTCCTTCTAGCTCCTAGAGGTTTGCTGATGAGCCCGTATCAGAACGTTCCATGTGGAGAGCAACAGGAAATGCAGATGGGTAGGAAAGGGGAGAAAAGCAGAACTATTCATGGTTATGAACCTGGCCATAACACACCAAGGTGAGTACTCAACAGAGGACAAAAGCTGTCAGCTGCCTCCAAGGCTAGGGTGTGGGAAATGAGCCAAAGACAGGGATGGGGGTTGAGGGAGATGGCAGAGTTCAGAAAGCATCAATTTAAGAAGAAAGAAGCTCCTGGTAAAACAGACCACCCCAAATGAGTTGCAGGCAGCTTGGCAGGAAAAAGATTTTTGCCTGGCCTCTAGCCACCAAGGATCCTCCCAAAGTTCATAGCCATCCTCTGTCATGGGCGACACTTTCAAGGGGCCTTGAAGAAATAACACATTTACAGTAAATATAGAAATAAAGAGTAGTAGAGATGATTGATAAAAATAATTGCAGTTATATGTACACAATGAATACTACTCACTCATGAAAAGGAAACCCATGCATAGATCTGGAGAACATTAAGTCCCAGACACAAGAAGACAAACACTGTGTGATCACACTCATGTAGAATCTAGAAGACTGAAACTCACGAAGCAGAGGAAAATAGTGACCATGAGGCCTATGAAGTAGATGAAATAGAAACACACTGGCTAAATGACCCAAAGTTCCAGTTACAAGGAAGTTTTGTCATCAAATTTATAGAATTGGGACAAGCATTAGTAATGCTGTTATGGAAACAAATGTATGGGTTAAAATGAATGTTAAAAGCAAAGATGGGAGCCCTGGGAATGAGAAATAAAATGACTGCTGCTCAGCAGTTAGGAACCCTGGCTGCTCTTCCAAAGAACCTGGGTTTAGTTTCTGGTACCCACAAGGTGGTTCACAACTATCCCTAACTCTAGTTCCAGGGGGTCTGATGCCCTCTCCTCTGACCTCCCCAGCACATATAAAGTGCACCTACATTCATGTAGGCCAAACACTTATACACATAAAATAATCTAAAAGCAAAAACAGCAACAACAAAATAAAACGAGACCGCCACAGCATCAGCAGTGATACTTTGTTGTTATCTGACTTAGAATCAACCTAGGAGCTCAACAACAGATGAACAGATCAAGAAAACATGGCACATTTGCAGAAAGGAATATTACTTAGCCATTGAACAAATAAAATTCTATCATCCAGCCTCAGCTGGATGACAGGAAGTAGACTTGACTGCAGGTAACAGGGCTGCAGTTAACAGTACAGCATAGATTTCAAAACAGCCTGTGAAGTTATTGAATGCTCTTATCAAAAGAATTGATAACTGGGACAGCAAGGTAGCTCAGTGGATAAAGCAAGCCTGGCAAACTGAGCTGTATCCCCAAGACACAGATGGTAGGAAAAAACTGACAGAATGTGCAAACACAAATAAACAAATGCAGTCATTTACAGAGGTCTCAGCTAAAACTAATATAACCTGAATGCAAACACACACACATCCAGAAATGCTAGTTATGTGATTAGCATATGGGTAGATTAGTGTGGTCGTGGTAATCACGGTGGATATGCTATCCCTATTGTACTCATGGACATTTACAGTGTTTACCAGCTGAGCCTCGAGAAAGCAGGGGAGAGTAAGGAGCACAGTGACCCATCAGTCAAATCTGCCTGAGAGGCCCCTGAAGCATCCCCACCCACTGAACCACACAAGTGCACACGCCACTGCCTATCATACACTGGTACCAGGAGCAATCTGATCACCCTCCAGTGTGTTTTCTCGAAAACAGAAGGATGGGGAGCAGGGGGTAAGGGGGAGAAAGGAGAAAAGGAAGGGAAGGACATGGGAGGAAAAGAAAGAAGGAAGAAACGAGGAGGACCTGGGTGTGGTAGCGTAAGTCTGTGATCCCGTTATTTGGAGGTGGAAGCAGGAGGAGGAGTTAGTTCAAGCCCATCCTCAGTAACATAGCCAGTCCAAGGCTCAACATTTTTTGAAATGCTGTGAACTAGTTGCACCTGGGATGTAGTAGCCACCCCAGTGTTCTGAGCAGCCTAGGTTCCCCTCACCTAGTATTCTTGATCAATTTCTTAAAACTGATGCCTTCTCTAAATGTCCCCTCAGACAAATCACTTCCACCTGTCCCCCAAAGCACAGGCTTCTCTTTGGCCAGGTGAGCAAGCCAGTAGGGAGGCTCAGTGTTTTGTCCTCTTGTCCTCCAGACCCTCGAGTGTGCCTGGGTTGGCTAGCATTAGTGACCTGCTTCCCACCTTTGCAGAAGAGTGGGCAGGCATGTCGTGTGGTCTTTGTGAGAGTCAGCAGGGTCTCTCAGAGGCTGACTCATCGGAGCCACCAAAGACAAACAGGGAAGTGGCAAGCAGACACATGTCGGCTATTCTCTAGGTCAAAGGTCACACTTAGCAAGAGTGCACAGTTACAATGGCCATAGCAGCACATCTGCCAGCCCCAGTGACTGTCACACCCAACTGCCAGCTGTGTCCTGTACCTCTCTTTACCCCACCACCACCACACACTCCCTAATGCCATTTTGAAAGCAAGCCACAGACTATTCATCTGGGACATTTCAGAAGAGACTTCCAGAAGGTAACTTAATAGACAAAACTGTAATATCATTATCCCACCCAGAAAGGTTAACAGCAGTTTTGTGATGTCACATTTCCCCATTCCCCAAAGGCAGACAGGTAGTATTCCCACTGGGAAGAGGGAAGGGAACCACTTGAGCATCTAGCACAGTGGTTCTCAACCTTCCTGATGCTGTGACCTTTAATACAGTTCCTTTTGTTGTGTCCCCTCAACCATAAAATTATTTCACTGCTATGTCAGGGCACTTCCCAGGCCTCTGCTAGCTTAACTCTACCCAAGACCCATCAGGGACTCTCATTCCCCTTTGAGAAGGTGGCCCATGGTGTCTTAAATGAGAAATGCCCCCCATACTCTCGGGCATTTGAACATTTGGCCCTCAGTTGTTGGCACTATTTGGGGCGGCTTAAGAGCTGTGACCTTGTTGGAGGAAGTGTGTCACTGGGAGTGGAATATGAGAGTTTAAAGGCTCACACGCTTCCAGCTCCCTCTGCTTTCTGCTTACAGTAAAGGATGTGAGCTCTCAACACTCTGTTCCTGCTGTCCTGTCTGCTGCTTCCCTGTCTCAACGGGCTTCCACCCCTCTATTCTTGTGAACCCAAACAAACCCTTTCTTCCATGAGTTGTCCAGTCATGTGCTTTATCATGGCAACAGAAAAGTAACTTCATGGGGCCTTAACCTGGGGACACTCAACAGCTTCATGGGGTCTGGCTGGCCGAAGAGCCCACGTTCCTCCCACAGCCACAGTGACATCTGAGGAGTGGGTGGTGCGCGCTGCCCCTGGCCTCCCTCAGCCAACTTCCCAGTGCCTCCCTGGTCCGTGACCTCACATCCCTCCACTATCTCCTCCTCTCTGTCTACCTCATGATGACTCACCAAACTGGCCATCCTGTTTCACATACAGCTCGATGATGCCACAGGCAATGGTGGTGGCAGCGGGGATCTCCAGCACCACATTGGTATCCTTGATGACGGTCCCATCCTCCATTGCTGACACCTGTGGGCAAGATATGTAACCCTTGGATACTCAAGAAGCACCCTGGGCTTCTTCCTATCACCCCTATGCCCAGCCTCCTAAGAATCCTGGGGAAATAGCCACAGAGCTAAGGAAAGAGGAGACAGTTGGTACTGATATCTGGTGGCATGGGTAAGATGGCAGAGCATGGGGTAGGAAGCCACAACACAGAGCATGCTTTGACAACAACATACTTAATATTATACTGCTGTGGTCCCACAATCAGGTGATTAATGGAACCAGACGGTTTCTATCTCCTAGTGCACTGTGGGCTCTGTAACATCACTGCAGAAGGCATCACTCATGTCTATGGTGCTGCTGCTAACAGGTCCCCTGGGCACCTACAGTCACTGCCAACATGGAACACATGGTAATTATGAATGACTATGCTACTGGCTCATGTACACTAGACTAGATCTTTAACATTACATTTTCCAGTATTTTAAGAGTATGTTCCATATAGGAAGGAAGAAAGGAAGGAGGCTATAAACTGTGTGCTGAGTTAGGCTGGCAGTAGCCTTGTGCATCTCAGGTTCACTGTATCCCTTCAGGTCCACCATGAAGCCCTGCAGACATCTATGCCTGTGTAAGTTATCTGGTGGTATGACATCACCAACAAAATTACCTGGTGATTTGTAATGCACAGCATAGCTACGTGATATATGACTGCAGATAGATAAGATCAGCTTCCAGGTACCTTTGAAGGCTTTGAGAAACAACTTTGAAATCCCAGTGAAAACCCCAACAGGATTAAAGCTGGGCTGGAACCGATCCCTGAGCTGTTCACACCCCTATGGATGATGCTCTGCACAAACAAAGCTGGATGGCAATGTGGTGATATTTTGTTTGTGATCTAACAAATAAAGTTTGCCTGAAGATCAGAGTGCAAAGCTAGCCACACTAGTCAGCCATAGAGGCTAGCCTGTGGTGGCACACACCTTATTCCCAGTACTCGGGAGACAGAGGCAGAGGGGTCTCTGTGAGTTCAAGGTCACCCTAAGATACACAAAATTGATTCAGTCTAAAAGAGAAACAGAGCTCACACAAAGGTGATCTCAGCACTTGGGATCCCACGCCTTTAATTCCAGAACTAGAGAGCACTATAAGATGGGAGGAGACAGGAGCTCAGTGCAGTCTAAGTTTTGGTGGAGACAGATGCAGTCTGGAGATGCAGATCTAATTTTGCATTGAAAGAAGCTGCAAATCAGACAGACAGACAGACAGACAGACAGACAAGACAGACAGACAGATCCTCTTGTTCCTGGCCCAACTAGTGCCTGAATAAACAATTTCCTTGACAGAAGCATTCTACTTCCATAAGGGGCAGTGCCTGGCCCAGGTTCACTTGGTGACCAGAGCAGTGGTTCTCAACTTTCCTAATGCTGTGACTCTTCAAATACAGTTCCTCATGCTGTGGTGACCCCCAAACCATAGAATTCTTTTCCTTGCTACTTCATAACTCTAATTTTGCTACTGTTATGAATCATAATGTAAATACTTTCGGAGACAGAGGTTTGTTGAGGGGGTTGCAACCCCCAGGTTGAGGACCACTGCAAGAGCATTCTATGGCCACCGCTTGAGAAATGGATACAGCCCACACGGTCTGGTGAGATCCAGCCCCGGAGCACTCTTTCCCTGCACTGTGACAAATGTGAAGAAAGACTGGAACCACAAGCTCCATGAGGAAGACAACTCCACTGTCTGGGAAGGAGAGCGGCTTACAACATCTTCATGTCCTGGGTCACACGGACACTGAGGCCGGATGCCTCAAAGAGCTTAGCTGCATGAGCCAGGGAGAATTTGTTTACTAGAGCCAGCTTGAGTCGCATGTCTAACTCTCTGTAGAAGGAGATCTGACTGAGGAAGACACCAGAAAAGGGGCCCATAGGGAAAGGTCTGCACGCTGGCCCCGCACCTGCACGATCTTGGTCTGGATCCCCACCAAGCCCCCACACTTCTCCTCCATCTGCACATGCTCAGACAGCACACACTTCCGTGTGGTCACAATCTTCTGTGTCAGCACACACAGGACCTCGTTCCTCCTCTCTAGCACCTGCTGTAGCACCGGGTTGTCCAGATTAACCGCTCTGAAAGACAAAAGTGGTCATGAGTAACCCTATAGCTCCAGGGAGACTGAAGCAGGGACCTTGTGACTGGAAGAGGGAACAGGGAACAGCAGGTTTCGGCTTTCTAGAATGACTTTAGTCAAACTCTTCTGGGGCCAATCAGACCAGCTGAGGGACAGGCTAGACACTGGAGGAAGTAACAAGGAATTACATACTCTTAATAACAGCCCCCAACAGCCACACTGGCTTCAGTGAAGAACAATGGAAAGCCATGCTAGAGGAAAGCTGCCACCCAGCCTCCAAAGCACAGGGCCATTATGATGAGAGCCACAGTGGCTTCTCACATGGTAGAGGTACAGGCTGTGCTGGGAGATCAGCCTGGAGCTGAGAAAGCTATGGGAAGAATGAAGAACCTCTCAGTGGGGTTTCCATCACAGAGACTGGAAGCCATTTGGTAGGTATATGCTGCCCCATGGTTCCCCTTCCTGGCCAGGTTTCACTTCCAGCTATAACTTGATGCTTAAAAGACAATTATGGGATAAGGTCCTTGGTGACCCCAGTTGACACCATAGCCTTGGAAGGGCAGGAAAAACGCCAGCTCCCAGGTGCTGTCAGCATGGAAAGAAAAGGCTCATCCTAAGCTACAAGGACAATCTGCCGTTAGTCACCTGCGGGCTCAGCACCCCTCACCGCTCACTAAGAGGCCGGTGGTCCATCCTAGGTATACTTAGGGTTCCCAGGTATTTGGAAGTGTACAAACCAGCTGACCAGGGCAATAGCCAGTCCATGATCTACATATGAACAGGGACATGAAATGGCTTATCCACACCATGGGACTGCTCGGCCATGGGAAGGAGTCAGCTCCAACACAGGCTACAATGTAGCCCTTGTGCAAAGCAGCGTCAGCCACCATAAAAGGACAAGCATTGTAAGAGTCATATCTAGAAAAGATCTAGAATAGACAAATTCACAATGACAGTGAAGACTGGAGTACTGGGTCTGGAAAGTGAAATCAGGGAAAACTAATTGCTTAATGCTATGGAATTCTGGCTCGAGGAGATGGAAATCACAGAGATGGATAGCAGTGGTGGCCACACAACAGAGGGAAGTACTTAGTGCCAATGAATTATACACTTAATGACCTGCAAGCTTTATATCTTTCCACAGTAAAAAGAAAGACATACAAAACACTGGCCAGTCTTCCACTAGTCAGTGCAATACAAAAGTATTGCAATATACACGTGAGACAAAAATAGGCTATTAAGAAAACTGCTGGCCAAGGTATTGGAGGATGTCTCTACTAGTAATGTTGGCTAACTGAGTTGGATCCCAGCACCCATGTAAAATGCCCACAGTGGTGCACGTCTGTAATTCCAACTCTGGGGAAGCAAAGACCAGAGGAGCCCTGGCGCTTGCTGGCTAACCAGTTTAGTCAAACCAGTGAGCTCCAGGTTCCCTGAGAGACTCTCTCCAAAAACAACATGAAGTGACTGAGGAAGACGCCTGATGCCAGCCTCTGATCCCTACCCACGTGAACACCCACATTGTATTTGTACCTGTGTACGTACACATATACACACAAAGACATGTATGCACATATCACAGAGACACGAGCAGGTTAATAGATTGATTGATTGATTGATTGATTGATTGATTGATTGATTGATTGATTGATTGATTGATTGATTGATTGATTGATTGATTGATTGATTGATTGATTGATTGATTGATTGATTGATTGATTGATTGATTGATTGATTGATTGATTGATTGATTGATTGATTGATTGATTGATTGATTGTCGGGCAGTGCCTCAATTCCAGGAAGAAATATGGATAGGGAGCTGAGTGTTGTCCTCCCCGTGGATGATCTGGAGTGAATTATGCCACCTTCACATGGCGGCTTCTCCATGGATAGTGGTTGCTAAGAATGCCTTCAGCAGCTTGTTTACACATTCCAGCCAGCTTTCCAATGAGGGCACAGACCATAGCCACTATCTGAGCAGTTCCTGGGAACGACGGGCCATTTAACTGAGCCCAGGATAAATACCATTCACCAGCTTAAAATCCTTCAAGGGCTCTGCCTTACCCAGATTCTACAACCTCATGATCATGTCCCTGCCTCCTGTTCTCCCAACCTCATCTTGGAGCCTCTCTTCTGGTCCTTCAAGAGACCAGGCACATGGCCAGTCAAAGCCCTGGAGGCCATATCTCAGACACATTTGCTACCTCTTCTGGGAACTGAGCTCCACGCACTGTGTGAGTGGCACTTCTGTCACAAAGGCCTAAGATGGAGGTCACACATCCACACACTTTCTCTAGCTCATTCTTGTCTTTGTTCATTGCCTGCATCTTCACTCTAGAGTAGAAACTATAAGGGGGTGGGAACCATGACTGCTGTGCTGTGCTTATCTCAGGGCTGGGTCAGCACCTAGCACCGAGAATGGGCTCAGGAAACATTATTCTGGGAATAAATGACTATATAAATTCTGTCTGTTTTTTCATTGTCTGGAGCTTTAATGTACACGTGTGTGTGTGTGTGTGTGTGTGTGTGTGTGTGTGTGTAAGTCAGAGAAAAAGAGGAGAGAGGAAGAGAGGAAGGGTGGAGACGTAGGGAGAGGGAGGAGGGGGAGGGAGGGAAGAGAACCTGTTGAAGATGGAGAGAGAGAAGGGTTCTGATGTTTGCTTTAGTGAATGGTGAACAGGTGACCCTTTTGCAGACACTGGATGGGCAACATGAAATCCGGTCTCCTTGTGACCTCTGACATGAAATCCGGTCTCCTTGTGACCTCTGACTGAATCAAGGACTGGGAAAGGCATTTTACAGTCCCTTCCCCATTTGCAGGAAGATCATGCCTTCTTTCCCAGGAGCTGAGAGAAGTTCAGTGCTCCAGCCATGCCCACCTGAAAGATGATGGACTCTAGGCCGCTTTAGATCTAATCAAGGTCTGCAAACTGGCAAAGCAGCACAGTTTTACAGGAGGAAATATGTCACCTACACCGAGCAGGCTCATGGGTGGAAAGGTCACTGGCATAGCTGTCCCCATGGACACGGCCATTCTCCATCACTGGTCAGGACGGCACGAAGGCCCTGAAAAGATGCTTAAACAGCCAGATTTTGACCAGTGTGAAAGGAAAAGGAGATTAAACAACTGAGAAGATGCAGAAATGAAATAAACTCATACAGCTTTCACTAAACTGAAAAGGAAAGGGCTGGAGAGATGACTCGGTACTTAAGAGCACCGGTGGCTCTTGCAGAGGGCCTGGCTTCAGTTCCCAGGTGGCTCACAACCAACCATGGGAGAATTCAAAGGCCACTACTGGCCTCTGGAGGCACCCACACACATGGTGCATATAAACTCACACTGGCTTGAACACATACACATAAATTTAAAAAGAAATTCATTTTCAAATGTAAAGGGGACACTGCACTTTGAGAGGAAACCACGAGGTGAGGCTCTGGGGGCAGTGAAGAAGCAAAAGGAAGCTCAATAGCACTGGGTGAAAGTACCAGTGTCGGGGAAATGCCTGCAATCCCAGTACCCAGAGAGTTGCTGTAAGTTCAAGGCCAGCTGGGGCTCACATCGAGTTCCTGGCCAGCCTCAGCTACAGATTAAGACAAGCAGAAGATGGCTAAAGAGAAAGGGGAGAGAGAAGAGGGTGAGGAAAGAGAGAGAGGAGAAAGAGAGAGAGAGAGAGAGAGAGAGAGAGAGAGAGAGAGGAGAGGGGGAGAAATGGGGGAGAGGAAGAAAGTGGAGGAAGCGGAGAGAATAGAAAAGAAAGTGAGAGCAGTTTGCTACCTCACCCCTGGCTTCCTGGCCAGGTCAGGAAGCCACAGTGCCAGGCAAAGTTGAGCAGTTGCAGCCTCCACACTGCAATGGCCCCCAGTCCCAGCTAGAGGAGATGCTAAGCTCTCGGTACTTCACTAACTTTGTGTCCAGTGTGAGGAACTGGGATGTCTAAGAGTGAGGGAACCTACTGTGTGCTCCCACAACCTCCAGAACCCAAGTTGCAACTGTCATGCTAGACCCTTTGGCAGCTTCTAGGGCCAGTCTCCTAGAAGCCCAGGGCACATGTACTGCAACAGGCATTGGACACTCACACCCTTGGGACCCTCAGGCGCCATAGCCACAAGCTGACATCCACTTACAGTTTCTACACAAGAACTACACCCCACCACATGGCACAATCTCAGGGCTGCATCCCCTGACTATGGGAGCTGAGAAAAGTCCCAGCTGTTTCCCAGAGTTCCAGGAATATGAGAAACAGTGACCCTAGGACCTGCCACTACCTGGGCATGCCTGTACTTTCCTGGTGGGGGCTGGGGAATGTACTTGACATGAGGCAGCACCTGCTGGTGAAAAAAAAAAAAAAAAAACCTCTGGCATTAGCCAAGTTTGTCCCTGGGGCTGTGGGAAACCCATCTGTATTCTGTATACTGTATCTTTGCAGCATCTACCAGTTCAGTAAACTGCAGGTCCACCAGAGTTTGTTCTGTGTGACCTAGGGACATGCTAAACAGCCTTCAAACATCAAATGAGCTCCATATACCAAAAGCACAAGTTCCAGGACCATGTCTGCTCAACCCAAGGATCCCAGGAAGGTCTTTCCACACCACCAGTTTACATGTTACCCGCACATGGCCCAACACAGTTAAAGACATCTCACTATAATCCCTGGCTCTATGACAAAAAGGGCTGTTGTGGAATATTTGATTAACTATGCAAAGATGTGTTGCATTTGTTTAGCTATGTAAAGATGTGTTGCTGTTTTACCTTGCCTGCCTAAGGCACCTGACCGGTCTAATAAAAAGCTGAATGGCCAATAGTGAGAGAGGAGGTATAAGTGGGACTTCCAGGCACGCAGAGTAAGGAGGAGGAGGAATTTAGGCTCCAGAGAAAAAAGTAAGAAAAGGAGATGCCTTGGGCCCAACAGACGGAGGAAGCAGGGAGGTAGGACATATGGAATGAAAGAAAGGTCAAAACAGATGCAGAGAAACAGGTTAAGTTAAAAGAGCTAGTG